TCTAAAACACAGTACACAAGTTTTAGTGGGGTATATATATGTGGCAGCCTGCAGGAAATACACCAAGTTGTCATTTTAAATTAGCATTTCATATCAAGATTTGGTAAAAAAAAAAATGAATCAGTTCAATAATTAGTTCAGACACACAATAATTCTTCAACTTATGAAGAAAACCGGTATGCGGTTTTGCTTTTAATAAAAACCTGTCACCATATCGTGTATATTTAGCTATGATGCGGCTAGTAAATCTTTTCAGACAGAGTTTCATATCGTGTATATTTAGCTATGATGCCGCTAGTATAACCTTATCAGACCGGGTTTCATATCGTGTATATTTAGCTATGAAGCGGCTAGTAAAGCCTTATCAGACCGGGTTTCATATCGTGTATATTTAGCTATGATGCGGCTAATATAGCCTTATCAGACCGGGTTTCATATCGTGTATATTTACCTATGATGCGGCTAGTATAGCCTTATCAGACCGGGTTTCATATCGTGTATATTTAGGTATGATGCGGCTAGTATAGGCTTATCAGACCGGGTCTCATATCGTGTATATTTAGCTACGATGCGGCTAGTATAGCCTTATCAGACCGGGTTTCATATCGTGTATATTTACCTATGATGCGGCTAGTATAGCCTTATCAAACCGGGTTTCATATCGTGTATATTTAGCTATGATGCGGCTAGTATAGCCTTATCTGACCGGGTTTCATATCGTGTATATTTAGCTATGATGCGGCTAGTATAGCCTTATCAGACCGGGTTTCATATCGTGTATATTTACCTATGATGCGGCTAGTATAGCCTTATCAATCCGGGTTTCATATCGTGTATATTTAGCTATGATGCGGCTAGTATAGCCTTATCTGTCCGGGTTTCATATCGTGTATATTTACCTATGATGCGGTTAGCATAGCCTTATCAGACCGGGTTTCATATCGTGTATATTTAGGTATGAGGCGGCTAGTATAGCCTTATCAGACCGGTTTTCATATCGTGTATATTTAGCTATGATGCGGCTAGTATAGCCTTATCAGACCGGGTTTCATATCGTGTATATTTAGTTATGATGCGGCTAGTATAGCCTTATCAGACCGGGTTTCATATCGTGTATATTTAGCTATGATGCGGCTAGTATAGCCTTATCTTACCGGGTTTCATATCGTGTATATTTAGGTATGATGCGGCTAGCTTAGCCTTATCAGCCCGGGTTTCATATTGTGCATATTTACCTATGATGCGTCTAGAATAGCCTTATCTGACCGGGTTTAATTATGGTTATGTTTGCCCGCCAGTTTCTCTTTTTGGGCCTGATACTCTCTCATAAGATATGACTCTCCGCCAGAACCTCTCAGTATTGTTCATACAACAAAATCTTCCTTTGTGGGCGTTGAAGCTATACAAACGTTCCTGTCTAGGCATCTGCAACAGGATTCATTTAAATATAGTTTTCAGTTCAAACCTTGGCTCTGGTAATGCTAAAAAGTCAGATAATCTGTTTCGTGGGAATAAACGCACAAGCAAGACAAACATGAATGACACTGGTGTGTACGAACCGATAAGAGGTATCCCTTAATCAGGGCAAACGGAAACATAAAAAAATACCCACGTGGATTGCATAATAATTTTAGTGTGATATTAGTTTCTGAGTACACAGGAAAATATCCGGGATTCAATAATACAGCAGTTGAAATTTGTAAATTATTTCTCTTAAAACAATTTTCCAAGAAAATAGATTTCTGAAGCACAATAGCTGTTATAGCTCCTTCCAGTATTGATGGCAATTTCCTTCATAACGTTTTGTTTTAGAGTATATCATTATTTTCGTGTTACATATTCTATCGTTTTAGTTGTTTGCTGATGTTGGTAGTCATCAAGTATTGTTTTTTTCTTCTAATATTTGGTTCAGTTCTTCGCTTACGATTGTGTAGCTCCATCCACAATATTCAAATTATGATGGTGTTTGCCAAAATTATCTATCTATCTATCTGTCTATCTATCTATCTATCTATCTGTCTATCTATCTATCTCAGTCTCTTCATATTTATCTATCTATCCCAGTCTCTTCATATCTATCTATCTCAGTCTGTTCTGTTTTCAAGTAATATTGTTTCTACTATTTGGTACAGGATTTTGCTTGCGATTGTGCAGTCCACAATGTTTAAAAAATGGCGGTCTTTGCCAAGATTAACAGGCTTCACACGCACAAAATGTATTTACTGTTGATATTAGAAATCTGTTTCAGACTGTTCATATCTATCTATCTATCTATCTATCTATCTATCTATCTAAGCAATCATATCTTTTTCTTTCTATCTCTCTCTTTCTTTCTTTCGTTCTTTCTTTCTATCTATCTATCTATCTATCTATCTATCTATCTATCTAAGCAATCATGTCTTTCTTCTTTCTCTCTTTCTTTCTTTCTTTCTTTCTATCTATCTATCTATCTATCTATCTATCTATCTATCTAAGCAATCATATCTTTCTTCTTTCTATCTCTCTCTTTCTTTCTTTCTTTCTTTCTATCTATCTATCTATCTATCTATCTATCTAAGCAATCATGTCTTTCTTCTTTCTCTCTTTCTTTCTTTCTTTCTTTCTATCTATCTATCTATCTATCTATCTATCTATCTATCTATCTAAGCAATCATATCTTTCTTCTTTCTCTCTCTCTTTCTTTCTTTTTTCTATCTATCTATCTATCTATCTATCTCAGTCTGTTCGTATCTATCTATCTATCTCAGTCTGTTCGTATCTATCTATCTATCTATCTATCTATCTATCTATCTATCTATCTATCTATCTCAGTCTGTTCGTATCTATCTATCTATCTATCTATCTATCTATCTATCTATCTATCTATCTATCTAAGCAACCATATCTTTTTTCTTTCTCTCTTTCTTTCTTTCTTTCTTTCTTTCTTTCTTTCTATCAATCTATCTATCTTAGCTGTTTCTTATCTATCTACCTCAGTATGTTCTGTCTCACCTTCTTTTCTTTTTCTCTCAAAACAATTTTCCAAGAAAATAGATTTCTGAAGCCCAATAGCTGTTACCGCGCTTTCCAGTATTGATGGCGGTTTCCTTTCTAACCTTTTGTTTCAAGTAGTGGCGAAGGCCAACATCTTGATTATATGATTATTTTCTCTTCGAGTGGCCAAGATTGACAGTCTTCACTCGCTCAAAATATATTTACCGTTGATCTTAGAAAGCCGTTGTATACAGTTTTGATATTTTCTGAACGGCTTTGGCACCATGCAGGGCATCCATATGAAAGCCTAAAAAGGTTACCCGAAACTACAAGAAAATCAGGAAGGCAGAAGATTAGATCGACCGAAACGTTGCGGCAATAACAACAAAGAGGAGAGTATTAAACAGAATATAAATAATATGAGCTATTATAACAATCAAAAGAAATAGGCTGCTCCGAATAGCAAGGTATCTAAGAAAATTAATAGTTGTGTAAAATGTATGTTTCTTCTTCATCATTAGGCTATGGCTCTATTGATGTGCCTATTCAAAGAACGGTCGCTTAATTTAAGGTCTTGCGTATCATCGTTTCAAATTGCAATCATTTCGCCTCATTTAATTTATACCTTTCAAAATGATACGGAGTACATTGCTTTTTTATCTGTCTCTATTGATCTCATGATCTGTTAGAGTGATATTTTTTTTTGTGTGTTCAGAAAGCAAGTTAAACATTTGGTAGGCAGAGGAGACAGTTAAGAATAGGGCAGGAGGGGGGGTTAACAAATATGATCGATGCGCACATTCAAATGAACAGCTTTAAATTATGGATAAAAGTGAAAACCAAGAATTATTTTTTCTGCTGGTATACAAACATAAATACACACGCATATCTATCTATCTATCTATCTATCTATCTATCTA